CTGAATTTGACACGAGAGATCGCCCATACAAGTCGTCCTGTTTACGCGACAAGCCAGCCAATCATAGGATCGAACTTGTGCGACGTAGCTTTTTGGGTCACTTGTGTTGACCGTGAGAAGGCGGCCATGCCGCGATTGTGAAAAGCAGTAACAATACCTGGATTTCGGAAATGTTTGACATAAATAAGAAGTTTAGAGGTAAGAGATTTGAAAATAAGATTATATGAATATTACTTTGAAAATTCAGCGACAGTTCTTAACTTCCATGACACGAGGATATATTTTGATTTCTTATGTGCACAGTTAATTTTGAGTACAAATCATAAATTAATCTAAAGACAATTAACCATTATAATATTTCAAATGATAAGTTACACAATTAGTGAAACATATTTTAATTTTGTTGTTATTTCCTTTTTTCGCACCGCACTCTTCCAGAACTTTGCGAGTAAAAACACATAAAAAATGGCCAGCGATGGAACGACTAAAACATTGGGTGCTGTTGAAACACTTGGTGCGCTACTATTGGGTAAACGCTTGTTTCAGGAAAGGACAGAAACGAGAAGTTAATTCAAGTAAACATATGTATCCCTGTTCATGATGTTTTTACGAATGAAATGTAATCAGACATTCCCCTCATCCTGACATAAAAATCTGCTCTAAGAAATGGTAAGTTCTAAAGTCACTGACCAGGGTGCCGTTGTACAAAGCTATGTTAGTGCTAGGGTAACAAATAGACTTACGACAGAAGTAGCTCTGTTGCGTAACAATTCTGAGTGTGAGGTTGTTTTGTACAATGGCACCCATTAGTACAGTAGCAGTAAGAGATTTAAATGGTGTTGTACTATTGCGTTAGCAAACATTATACCTGACGCACCTCACCCTTGTTTATGGCCTGTGTCCTTCAACGTGATTTCAAATGTTGATAAGATAGGATGACTGAAAGTAGTGTCATGGCACTATAGCTCACCTGAACGCGTAGTGTGCAAAGTTAACAGACAGACACTCACCAGAATGTTGATGTAAACGTTGATATTCACATATTTTCCCCGTAAATACCATGGGTTGGCAACGGGCACTAACACTTATTAATGATTAAACAAAATACTATCTCACCGTAAGATTTGTTTGTTTGTTGTTTAACGTCGCACTCAGCAATATGCCAGCTATATGGCAGCGGTCTGTAAAAATTCGAGTCTGGACCAGACAATAAAATGATCAACAGCATGATAATTCATCTACGCAACTGAGATACGGTGACATTTGTCAACCAAATAAGCGAGCCTGACCACCCGATCCCGTTAGTCGCCTCAGACGTATGCGTGGGTTGCTTAAGACTAAAACTAACCCGGATCTTCATGGCTCTCTCACAATAAGAAAAAAACATACCTTCCAAAGTGCAGTGCTCTCAGTCTTGTTAAGGCGGCATTTTCAGGAAGGATGACGCCGACAGAGCATGTGCAGTGTTTACAGAACTGGTCTGATTGCCACAAAGGATGTGTGGAAGTCGAGTACCACTTTCTCTTAATATGCCCCTCTTATAGCCAGTTACGTGGAATATATATACGGACATAGTAGTAGTTATATCCTTCTAAATCTAAGATATTACCCTTTTGTCAACCAAATATTGTACCCTAAGTACAATACGTTTGAGGTATATCTACCATCAGTCTATAGAACACTAACTTGAACGTTACATTTGATCGAATCATAACAGTAACTGTCCATGCCATTTACATAAACGTATGTTGTTATAGGCTGATGGCCTACACTAACGGTATAAAGATTAGAATTGAATATAATTGGTCCAGTGGTTTCTGGGAAGATGAATTTAACAGTGTCTGAAACGCATTTTGAGAGAATGTAGGAGCTCGCACAGGTCTTAAATACAATTTACAATATTCAGATAAAACGGATCATGTGAGTAAAACTATTAACTACACATTTACCAAACGTTTTTACATTTCTTTAATAAAGTAACAGAGTAAAACATTTGGCATTGCTTATTTTTCAGGTGAACAATTGACTTGCCTTGGCATGTGTTTGTGTCGGATGCCACAGCATGGTTCGCATGTATCATTTATCTAATGACACAACGTATTATCGCAACGTGTATCGTTTAGTATATCGTATACGCCGCTTTTAGTATTATTCCCAATATTGTTAAAGAATCCGAAGCCTTCGGCAGGAAGACTAAACACAAATAACAAAATCAATATTGCCATGGGCAGAAAACCCTCACATTTTCATGATTACCTGATTATCATTAGTTGTCAGTTCAGATTCCTTATGAAAGTGGAAATGTTTAGTGGCCTTTGTCGCTTTTATTTACAATTTCCAGGAGATACACGTTAATATGACAGAGACGTAAAAACTACAGATGTTGGAAAACGGTCTTGATAAGATTATATTTAAGGCATACCCTATCTGATTCGGTTCACGTGCTTGAATAAATACCGACTATCACAATCTCTTATATATACTGAACCGTAAAAGAAACGCGACTTTTCAAAACCAAATGCAAAATATGTTTTTTTCATTGTGATTGTACCGTTTTGTTAACATGTTTTTCAATCCAAATTGACAGTTATTACCAACATCAGTGTGTTTTCTGATGAAAAAGCATATCGACCAAACGTACCTAAAAAGACAGACGTTGTAAAAGGTTCCGTATGACATTCGTGAAAATGAAAATGCACGTGTATATCGTGACAACCCAAACTCGCCTGAAATCATTCTTGTGTTGACACAAGCGCCATAGTTACGAGAGATCAGAGGAACCAAGCCTTGGGACGATTGCAAGTTGGCCAGATTGCACGGAGGGTAGCCAATAAATTTTTTATTGTTCATGTTAGGACAATCTACCGACTGCAGGAACGGTATCAAGCCACTAACAGCATCCAAGACCGTCCACTCAGTGCATGGCCTGTAGTAACATCACGACCGACAGATTGTGCGCAACCATCTTCACCAGAGCCACGGAACCAACTCGCCAGACCATTGGGACTCACAAGAGACCCATTAGTGCCGATACAGTGCGTCGACGTTTACGCAAAAGAAACCTCTGCTGTCACAGACCATATCGTGTTCATGTCCTCACCGCTCGTTACCGTCAAAACCGACTGCAATGGGCTACTCGCAATTGACGCATCGACAATTGAGAACTGTGCTTTTTCTGATGAAAGCCGATATTGTGTTTCGACAGCCGACACCAGAGTGAGAGTATGGCGAAGGCGTGGGGGTTTTCCAATGCGTGTATTGTTGAAACAGACTGGTGGGGTGGTCCAAGTATCATGGTGTGGGTGCAGTCGGTCTGAGCCAGAGAGTTTCAGAATCTCGGTCCAGGACGAAGAAATGGCGTGACAGCTGCTCGCTATATAAGCCTAGTCTTAAGACCCCACGTCGACCACAATTTGAACGTCACAGACATCACATCTTCCAGCAAGACAACGCTTGTGGCCACACTGTCAGAGCAACACTGGACCTCTTAAGACAACATGGCATCCCAACCCTACAGTGGCCTGCACTTATTTAAGTCCAATAGGATTTAAGTCCAATAGAAAACATTTGGGATGAGATTCACAGAAGACTGAATGACCTCAAACCAAGGCCGACAACTGCGGCTGGACTCGATCGGGCATGTGTTAAATGTGTTAAGCATAATTGTCGGGAGAGAGAAAATACCCGATTATTAAGTTTTAAATACATTTGTATGATCTGATGGTATTTTTGTTTAGATGGTATATATGAAGATATCCTGAACGAATATCAATTCCACGCTTTGGTTAAAACGAAAACAAAACTATGAACATTTTGAGGTGCACATTACATTCACGAATGCCGCCAGACAAGTTACAATATGATTAAAAGATTGAAACATTACATGAATTTTCGGCAGAAAATAGATCTCAGTATGTTTCAAACATATGTTTGCACTATCTGAATTTCATCACAATGCAGACATTATTTCAGGTGATCTAAAGCCACACGAAATGTCTTATCTGACACTAGCGAGAATAAAAAGCCAGGTGCTGTGTCACCTCCAAGTCATTTTAGGTCATGGATAAACACTGTTTAAGGTAAGTGTACAGCCTTTATCCCAACCTTATTTTACTGTTAATGTTGGTTTTGTGTGTTTTACACCAGTATCAACAATATTCAAGTTTTACAATGGCAATCATCCATAATCGAATCTGGACCAGACAAGCCAGTGATTGGTATGAGGAGAGTCAGTACTGCTAAATACAGGTTACGATAACATGCAATCATTCAAGTGAATATAGATGGTAGTGCAAGAGAAAACCCGGTGTTGTTTACCAACCCAAACAGATTCCATTAGGCTCAAAGGTTAAATAGCTGAAAAAGATGTCAATGGACCACTGAAAGTCGGTGATGAGGTGGTTTGAAAAGGGTAACCTGTACATCATTTAGTCCCCTCTCAAGACATGATCCAGTCAGTTGTTATTGACTCTACTTTGAAACCTGAACACATGCTAAGTCGTTGTTCGTAAAGTTCATCTCCAAGATTTTGTCAGACAGCCGTGTACAAATCATTTGAAAAAAAATATACACGCTTGAAACTAAAGGGACAGAAGAAAGTAAACCGAGTTTGTCGTTTTATGTCATTGAAAATTAAAAAAAACATTTAAATTTATGCTTACATATCCTAACATTTGGAAATGTTTGTACCAGTTAGATGTATTAATGAAAACTGGGGTTAGAAATTAATTTACGTCAATAGGTTTGAAATGGTGTAGATTTGTGCCGAAAAGAGCAATTATATCAACTAGGTAGGAGGTCACCATATTTGGAGTTAACTACAAGCATATATATCGGGGGTGGGGGTGGGGGTGGGGTGGGGCGTGAGTTGAGGGGAAACACATCGATGTATACAGCTCAGTATCAGTAGTTATTGATCGGATTGTAATACGGAGTTTATACTACCAGGATTGGTTTATTTGTGGATATCACCAACCATCCTATGACATATATCCCTCCAGGGCGTTGCTGGGCTTGTCCATCATCTGGACATCGGTGACCGGGGGACCTGTGGATCAGCACGCCACCAAGGAAACCAGAGCTCTGTATCACAGCATGCTGAAGTTGGCTCGCACCCCCAACAAGTTCATGTTTGGGCACCAAGAAGACACCTGGATAGGAATCTCTCCTGCCCGTGGGAACTACCAGGTTACTCATTACACATGGCAGTCAGTTTGGAACTTTACGGTAACTGTCACTTTTATTGACATTTTAGAAGAGGATTAGTAATAATGGAGATGAGTTCCTTATTTCGATGTCATAAATGTAATCAAGAAGTTGTTATCCATAAAGTATCTAAGTATCATAATTAAGATCACATTTTTTCTTGTATGAAAGAAGTATAATTTTACGAACAGGTAATAACAAATTTTGGTCAAAGGAGCATAACATGCCGACATAACGGTAATGATAGCTTGTTGTATACAGGATAACTCTTTTGGATATTATGGGCAAGGTGTCTACATCCATAATCAATACAAGACTTACACTCCAGATAGAATTGCAAAACTATTTCTGAAATACATTCTGGATTTAGGGAAGGACATTCAACAATTGATAATGCATTTGTTTTACACTCTCTAGCACATGTATATATTTCTCCTTGTGCATGGTGTGTATCATTTGCTTGATAACGGTGTTAGGATGTACACCGAGACGTCGCATCTACTACAACAAAGAAGTTGTCTATCCATAAAATAGTGTTTCTCTTCTTTAGCACATAAGTATCTAAGGAAAAAAAGTGGAAAATGTTGTTGCTTTTTGTGGATTTTAAAAGGGCTTTTGACATGGTGGATAGAACAAAATTACTTTATCTTAGCTTATAAAAGTGTATTCATGGCACTTTTTAAACTTTGTATGTATACAAATCTTACGGCTTCAGTTAAAGTTGATACAAATCAATTTACAGGTTTATTCAACACAACATGTGGTGTTAGACAAGGTTGTATGCTGTACCCATTATTGTTTCTTATATATATTGATGAATTAGTAAATGTTATGAAAACTGACTATTTGAGTGGTATATTAATTGATTGTGATATCATCTTACTTCTGTTTAAAGATGATGTGGCCATATTTTCTGATTAAGAGGTTGATTTACAAAACAAAATAGTATGCCTACAAACATATGGTACAAAATGGGGTTTGTAAATATGGATAAGAGTAAAATTATTGTATTAAAAAGTGGAGGTACACTTTCTTAACATGAAAGATTTACATGCATGTACAACATTGGCTAGACAAGTATACAAAGCACTTGTTCTTGTGAAAAGAATGGTGTATAAATTTCCCAATTTGAATGTTGATGTTTATATGAAAATATATGATTGTACAATTTTACCTATTCTATTATATGGTGCTAAAATATGGGGTACTGAAATTAGAAAATCTATTGAAATTGTACATACAAAATATTGTAAATATGTGTTAAGAGTAGCTTACATATCTTCCAACAATGCTGTACTGGGTGAACCTGAAAGAGTGAGAAAGAAATGAGCATGGTATCATCAAGGTCATAAACTTTTGGATTAGACTATTAAGAATGCCATAAGGCAAGCCCCCTAAACATTGTTGTTTAATGCTCTGTAAATATGATGAACTAGTTTATACTAATTGGGTGTCATTTGTCAGATAAATTCTTTTAAGTTATGGTTTTGGCAGTTCTTGGATAATGCAGGGAATTGGGAATTATGAAGTATTCATTCATACTTATAAATTTAGATTGAGGGATATTTTTACTCAAAACTGATCTATTTCTATTTCTGTTTCGTCTAATTCAATAATGTATAGCACTTTCAAATCTCTCTTGCAACCTGAAATATATTTGAGTTCAATTCAACCATCAAATTTAAGACCCGTGAAGGTCTGGGTTAGAATATTGATCTTCAGTAACCCATGCTTGTCATAAGAAGCGACTAACGGAATCGGGTGGTCAGGCTAGCTGACTTGGTTGACACATGTCATTGGTTCCCAATTGCGCAGATCGATGCTCATGCTGTTGATGACTGGACTGTCTGGTCCAGACTCGATTATTTACAGACCGCCGCCATATAGCTGGAATATTGCTGAGTGTGACGTAAAACAAAACTCACTCACTCACTAATCAAATTTAAGAAGGGCTTTAAGGAAATGTCGATGCTGAAATTATTATAAAATCAATAGATTACCTAAGGATTGTGATTTTATTGACGCTTTTTTGCGATTTCTGTATGGAAGGGAGGAAGATGAATATAATGTATAGTCCGTTTGACGTCATTTGAGACCGATGTATTGCTCAATAACACAAACTCTAATAACTGCAACAAATTCAAACTTTGCACAGTCACATGAATTCGACAGACCAACTCTCATGATTTGTCTCATGATTTTGGACACACGAATAAAAAAGGACCAATTGCTGGTAGAACAGCCAGGTGTCTGAGTTGTTTGTGTGAATTGAAATTTCACTGCACACGATTGTTGATTACCTGGCTGTACATTATCACGTTGGGTATGTACTTATTAATGGGTTATTTGGAGACTGAATTTAGGGATTTCAACAAGAACAAGGATTAAATTGTTTTACGGAAGTTTCCACAAACGGAAGACACCTATGTTGTGTAACAGGGTTAAGCGATCTTATTGTGTTTGCTACTGGCTGGTAACACAAGCCAAGGTTCAGCTGAGATTTCTGGGATGGACATTAGAAGAGTTAAATGTATGCATCTTAATGCGGAAATCGCCAGCACCCTCAGTCAACTGATATCCATCGGATTGGTGATCGGATGCCAAATTAATTCGCACATTGTTAAGAACAGCAAAAGAATTACATTTCCATTGTCGGAATATAAGTCTACTGAAAGTGTCACAGGATAAGGTGACAGTTGGTGACGAATCTAGATCGCAACTGGTATGATCCATGGTTTGAAAACAGCATAACCTGCCGACATAATGGTCATGATCTGTGTCTCACTGACTGTTTCAGTCTCACATAAACATCACAACCCATGACTATAGTACAGTACATATAACAACGTTAAATCAGCATATTTCTTTTGTAGACTGCACAAGTTGACAACAATGACGAGGACGAGTTATCTGACATCCGGAGCGTCACAGGCGAGTATCCAGCCATTGTTGGATTCGACTTCAAAGACTTCCAGGATGATCAAATAAAGATATTGACCTATCTTGTCAAAAAGGCCCATGCTAGAGGACAGGTGATCACGGTGTGTCAGCACGCCAGCAACCCTGTCACAGGCGGTTCCTTCCATTTATACTGGGACAATGGCACCGTGCTCCATACTCTGCGACGGTCTCTCCCAGGTGGGGATGCCAATCCCAAATTCAAAGCCAACTTAGACAAAATAGCTTCCTGGGCCAACAACATGAAGGACGAGAATGGCCGACTTATTCCGATCATTTTCCGATTGTTCCACGAAGCCGACGGTGATTGGTTCTGGTGGGGTCTCAATAATCGATGTCAGAACACCCCTACAGATATCAGGGACATCATGAAGTATACTATATCCTATCTGAGGGACACAGGGAACGTCCACAACTTCCTCTACACATTTACCATCGACTGCTTCACTAAAACAGACAACTTCCACCTTCTGTATCCTGGGGATGATTACATAGACATCATATCTGTTGACTACTATTACAAATATACCCCTACCACTACGAAGGACATTCTGAAGACGAATATTGCCAATCTTGTGGACATTGCAGAGTCCCGTGGTAAGATTCCTGCTATTGCAGAGGCAGGCATGGCAGATGACGGGCTGTTTAACCATACCAACGCGTGGACAGACAATTATCTGTCGGTGCTCAAGACACAACCGAAGTTGACTCGCATTTTGTACATCTTAGGTTGGCATAACAGATGTTTGATAAACGACTACTGTCCATTCTATGTCCCCTTCAAGGGATTTAAAGGAGCTGCTATATTCAGGGACACTTTCTATAAGGATCCAGTAACGGTATTTGAGAAAGAAATACGAAGTTTGAAAGTGTATGGTTAACAGCGAAGACAGTGCACCAAAAATGAAAACTTATATGAAAACATTAGTTTCAAATTGTTTCTCCTCTGTTTCAAGTGCAAAGTAAAGATTTGAGAACACCATATTGTATGTTTTATTTAGCTTAAAATTTAATTGATTCTGAACAACTTCTTTTGATTTCCCAACATCCCCTCTGATCTGTGTTTCGACCTTTTTCTTACCGGTATGAATGTTTTGGTCGTGTTGTTTAAGAAATACGGTTCGCTCTACCACCATGTATAGTGTAATAAAGCACACTTTCGCCCTGAACTATTATAACGTTAAAGCACTCGGACGCTTCGCTCTACCGCCATGTATAGTGTAATAAAGCACACGTTTAACGTTATAATAGTTCAGGGCGAAAGTGTGTGCTTTATCACACTATACATGGTGGTAGAGCGAACTGTATTTCATTTCTAAGATGCCAAATTTAATACTTTCTAAGGATAATTACGATTAAATTAAGGCAGAAAACAAACGACGGTGTCGGTGACCTAAATTAAGAATCCTCGCACATCGCTAACTGGCACGCTGTTCTATTGATGTGTCTGGCCCCCTACGTTAAGACGAACGTTACCAGAAAAAAAGCAAATGATAACAGTTTGATGACGGTTTACGTTCGGATTAAATATCTTCTCTGAATTATTTTAATTACATCTGCCATTAACGTAAACCATATGGGGCAATATGAACGTTGCATTTCTACTACCAACGTAAGTTTAGATCAGTACATCCAGATGAAGCTGAGTAGTCAAGCGACATTCCACGATTGCATTGTGGGAATGTAAACATTGCGAACGTTACCGTGTCGCTGAAAACTTGTGAGTCGAATTGACTCATTTTAACCGTCGTAAAACATAAACGTAATGTTTCCACCAGTGATGTTAGCTGCGTGAAGCAACTGCAAACCAAGAAACGGGATGCAACGGAGTAGTTTACTGTAGGAGGCCGTACGAGGCGATGACAACTGACATGCATCGTGACGTCGCTTACATTGTGACGTCCTAACCTGACCGCTTCCGTCCCGGCCGTAATGCCCAGTCCTTCCACTTCAACTGTCCATGTATCCCACATAAAACGTGGCATGTCAGGTCTTTTCCAAATTACGGAATAGTAGGGTGGTTATCAACAATTATTTCCGTTAGCGGCGAGTCGATTGTCATACAGTAGGGGGGGATCAATAATTCGCTTGAGAAAAATCAAATACTTGTACTTGCTCACAGTATAAACTGTATTTTTTTAATTTATGTATGCTACTTGTTACAAATACAAGCATACTGGTTCCTGAAATAAAGCATTTATGTTGTTGAAAATATCTTATTTTGTTCATTACACAACCTGTCCCTCGACGGGATAGTGGTTCATAAACACATGCTCAGTCACCATATTTCATGGTCTCAATCACTGGATTGTCTGGTCCGGACTCGATTTGTTTACAGACCGCGTCGTACAGCTGTAATACTGCTGAATGGAGGAGACACACACAAACACATGATTAAGTGAGTGAGTGAGTTAAAATTTTAAGTCAAATCGGCAGTATTTCAGTCATATGGTGACTATATCAAGTTATATATAGAAAATAAATATTTATATGTAAGTTGTCAACGAAAGACAGTAAAACAACTAGTTTATCACAGATATACATTTTAAAACTAGTAATTAAATCTAAATCATATAACTATAGATGACAATACAATATAAAAACAGGCTATAGATAACCAACAATCGAAGGTAGATCACCATACTAGGGAACATGGGGACTTACAGTACCTTTGCTTCCTTCATGGACCCTAGCTGGATTTACACTATCCCTTCAGATGTTACCAATTTGAGACAATCTAGCCATAAATTAAATAACATATATGCTGCGATTAAAAATAGTAGTAAGTTTACATGTAATTTTATTTGTTGTGGAACTTACATGCCTTTTCAGGACTCATGACAAAGTCAAATTTGTACAATCGACTCTGCTTTTAGCAGAGATTTCTTAAGAAAGTGGAAAGCCATAAATATCTATGTAAGTCTCTGAGTCATTTTAACCGAAGATTGACAATGTAACACACAACTAAAGCTGGGTTTTTGACGATTGATTAACAACCTGTTGACATAATGCAATTTGAACCTAAGCCATAAAGTATTTCCTTATCTCAACATGTGGTTTCTGTCAGATCGGTCAAGTTTGTTTCAGTACAATCATGCGTACTTTGATTACTGGATCGATATTGTTTGCACTGGACTGAAAATCGATACATGGTTTATTGACTGTCAGGTGATAAGTCGGCAGTCGTTAAGCAAACATAAAACAGGTGAGAAGCATTTGATAGAATTTCTAGTAGCGCGAAGAGCTTTCAGTTGCCTCTAGGCAGTTGTCGGGTAAGTACAACGTTACGCTGCTTTGTGTTAATATACTATTGTATCAAGGGAATAATTAAACATAAACGTTCATAGGTAGACATACAAACACAGTCTGGCACATAATGTGCTAAATATGGACAACTTCCTAATCATGAGTGACCACAATTATGAGTAAATGTCCGCTCGTCACGTCGAAGATGCGGGTTCGATTCCTTGCATGGGTACAATGGGTGAAGCCCATTTCTGGTGTCCCCTACCGTGATATTGCTGGAATATTGCTAAAAGCGGCGTAAAACCATACTCGCTCACTCAGTCAGTCTTAATTATGATTAGGAAATGTATCAGTGGACAAACCGATTAGTAAGTTGCTCAAATACCGGTTCCTGTCAAACTGAACAGGAACTAATTTGTATGAACCATAGAGCTATCATATTTGTACTTGCTTGGTCAACTGCGATTATCGATGCTCTTGATGTCAATCACTGGATTGTATGGTTCAGACTCGATTATTGACATATTGCTGTGTGGGGGCTTAATCAACAAACATGTGGTTTGTGTGTATGTTTAAATAGAAGTGTTAGTGACCAGATTGAAAAGGAGATTGAGTTACTATTTTCATCTTATTGCCTGTGCACAAAACTGTTTCTAACTAATGTGTGTTGTTATGTGTTAGGGAGGAAGAAACTGGGCAAGATCTGAACACATCAACCATGTCGAAGCGAAGAGTGAGTAACCTATTTTTGAGTCAGCCTGTACCTTAAACCATTGATACCTTTGATCCACACACTTAAGCTTGTTCTTATCGTGGAAATGACGCGGTCGTTGCTCTTGCTCACGTAGTTAGTAGTCACAGTTGTATCCTGGCATCTTTAGAGTAGGATTCCCCTGTATTTGCTATTCGTCTTTTGTCATACAAAGGTAGTCATCGAGCGCTTATTCAAAACGCTGCTTATTAACCCAAACGGGGTTCATATCAATGCTATTTTTAGCGTCTCTAAATATTTTTAAACGAAAGCCCTAAAATGTAATTAAAACAAAGTTATCTTTTGAAGAAAAGGAAACGCATCCAGGAATAGTGTTTATGTATACTATAAGACCATCCATCGTTTTGGTCTCGGGCGATGTCTTTCTTTAATGACGAGTTAACTACTTTACTTACCGGTTGTTTATACAAACGTATGCCCAGTCATTAACAAATCACCTGTCTAAATGTTACTTAATTTTATAGATAATGTTGAGCATGAGATTCTTAAGGTTAACGTTACATTTACGGCGTTCTGCAGCTGACACAATAAATCCAGAATTGTTTGCAAGTATATAAAAAGAGGACGTGGTTTGTAATCAAGACGCTAGAGTTACCTGCCTTTGGTTTAAAATCTTGAATATGAACTGAAAGTTGGAATTGATGGTGACGTGGAAAGAGACCAGATTCTTTTGTCCCCGCTGTGAATGTAACTCTGAGAAACTCTGAATCTGTTATTAATATGTTTGTACATGCTGATTATAAACTTCAGTGAGCAATTTCGCTCATACGTTGCTACATCTCCTGTGCTGTTGCTTGGCCAAAACCTTGCCTTGTCTGTCTGCCCCTTTCTTGGGCTAAAATATGCATAGATGACTTCCACTCACACATATCTGTAATAATAAGTTATAATCAAAATTCAATATTAAGTAGGTACACATTAGTTGTTACGTTACAGTAACTCCTGAAAAGGCATGGTCACATTAAGTGATGTTTGTATCTTGTGGAAAATGCTACGTATTTTGTATCTACACCAGATAGAGGGTTTACAGATCATACGCTGTGCCAAATATTTGCGTCGAAATCTTCGTAATTGTATCCCGCCGTAGGAATGCTGTCCAAACCGGAGATAAAAACCCAACTCACTCACTTTGTACTTTTTTTACCCAAACATGTCACGGAACTACACCGGTGCTTATTGCCTGTTATTTCATACTCAGAGATGTGACGAAATTAGACCTGATTGGTCAAACCCAGGAAAAGAAAGGTTTGTTCTCTCAGTTCAAAGAACGTTTGAAAACGTTCCTGGGTCTTCCAACACAAAGAAATGACCCGAACGTTGACGTGAAGGTTCTCCACTCCGCGGAACGTGATGAGTGCTTGGATCAGCTGGGACTCAGCCAGGATCAGCTGCTGGTTTCCGATGTGTACAGGGTGGTCCAGAACCTGTCGACTCTGCCTCCAGGAGGGGAGCTCATTGTTCCTCTGGAGATGCCAGAACGATCCATTCCACCACAGATGCTGTACACGTTCACGTACTGTATGAAGACCGGCGATTCCTGGAAATTGGAACCGGCAGAATATAAGGTGAGTATGTCCTGGTTTGATATTCTTTCTTTTTTTTTATTCCGTATTTTAGGCAACATGACCCAAAGTACAATTGTATTGTAAGATATACAGTTTGATATTCTGTCAAACTCCGTGAATATCCATGTTAGAATTGGTCTCCAGTAACCCATGTTTGTGGTAAGAAGCGACTAACGGGATTAGGTGGTCAGGCTTGGCTGACTTGCATAACTCCCGTCATAAAAAAATAAATAAACGAATATGCTGCAAAAAAGCATTCATAGTTGAATGAAAAATTAATTTCTTGATTCCCACTTAC